TGGGGGGAGCATCGCAAGGGTCCTGGAAGGCTCACTCAGACCCTTGCTACGCTCCCCCACCCCTCCACGGGGCCAGCGCGGGCGAAATCGCCACCTTCACTCCATAATACACACAGACTTCCCCCCCTACTTTTTTTGGGGGGGGGGAAAGTGTGTCTTATGGAGCAAAAAATACGGTAATGTCATCAGTTTTACTGGGGCTTTAACATTGGTCTCTCAATTCAGTTCAGAGGCCAATTTGGTACTTTGGACTTTGTTCCAATTAGTACCAAGCAATCCAGACCCCATTTGAATAATTCTTGACTCGAAATCCAAATCAGTTTGATTCACCATGTATTCCACTTGACTTTCATTCAAAAATCAAAATGGCTGTAACATTTTTGTTTCTTCACTGAAGTATGCAAAATTTTGGGTCATTATAGAAACTAAAGGTAAGTAAATCTGGCATATTCAAGATAGCTTCCTGATTTTGTGTAATAGGCACCTTTACAGTTCACTTTACAAAAATTCTTAAGAGTGCACATTCAGCTGAGTACTCCATCTTGCCCATTCATGCTCCTATCCCCCCACTATTGGCAGTACCTTCCTGAACAGATAGAAAATCTCAAAATTTACAGCTGTAATATTGAACCAAAGAACTTTTTTTTTTTAAAAAAAAAAGGCAAGGTAAGTTAAAGTAGTGCACTGAAAAACAGCATAATGGGTAATGGTCAAGAAGGCAGCAGAGCTGGTCAGGGGAGGCAAGGACATACAGGAAGTTAAATCAAAGAGTCCCCTTCATGAGTGAGGGAGCAAACACCAAGTTAAAGAACACCTCTATACTTCAATCTTAGTCTATTTCTCTTTTGAACTATACAACAAAGCACCAATGTAATGGTCAGACCACATGGCAACTTGATGGGCACAGATGCAACAGCAGTGGTTACCAAAGACAAGCAGGCAGGCAAAGCAGATGGTACATGAAGGAACCATGTTAGATCTAGCCAAACCACCTTTCTTGGTATCTTTTGATACGGATCAGCATCAGAAACTGTCATCTTACAACCCTCTACTTCCCTTTCCTTCATACTCTAAGCCTCTTGCAGAGAGCAGACTGAGACTTGCTGAGAGGATTCAGCACTTTTTGCTTTTGCCCTGAGGGTTGTACCGTTGCTGCCTGGTGCTGGAACTTCTCTTTAAGTATTCGGAACAAGAATACTTAAAGTTGTCTCCTAAAGTGTGCTGCTGGTGCTGTAATGCCCTGACAATTTAACCTGACTCATTTGTTGTCTCCAGTGAAGGAAGACAGCAATGCTGAGACCGTTTCCTACCTCAAAATGGTCCTAGACCATGTTCTGCCTTTTTGTCTTAGGAACCGCATCTATCAGGGTACTGCTGCTGCCTCTGATCTGCAGGCTCAAACAGTGCCTCCTCAACAGTGGGAACAGACTTACTCCCACTATCACCTGGGAATGTAGCAATTCAAATTTTTCTTCTTCTGGCCCTTGCAACACTGTGTGTGATAAGAAGATGTCTCAGGACTGATTAGGCTAAACAAAATGTCCAATATAATTGTAATAATACTAGATATAATGGGTTGGAAATTAATTGTTCTTTCACTACACAAATATGAATGAAATATTCAATATAAATAAAAGTAATAGTGCTTGCTGTTGTGACTCATATTCATTGTATAAACTTCCAATATAATCATAATGTATGCACTTTCTAAGTAAAATAAGTTTCACAGCGTAAATCATATGCAGGGTCGCATGGAATAATCAGATTCTACCACTCAAATAAATGAATTAGAAGGACAAAAGAAAGATTAAACAAAAGTTTATCAGAGTCACATTGACAAGACAAAAGATAAAGGGATAACTCAGAATAAGTTTAGAATGCAACCAACATAACTACATACATTTTCATATACCTTTTGGTGTGACTGCTATTAAGACTGCTAAATTTTGCAAAAGAATGCTGAAGAAGGTGCGTCAAATAAATAAATATGTAACTTCAGTTATCTCAGGTCCTTCCCTGCGGTCACCCCAGTTTGCAGGATAGAGCTGTCCCAGAGCAAAGGCAGTTTTCATTCTGATCATTCCATCTCAGTGTTTTTCCTATCTGGCCATATTTGAGTCTGTGACTAGTTTTCCCCAATCATTCCTTGTGCCTGAATCTCCAAAACCAAGATACTGTACTCCAAAACCTTTTACTTCATTCTGGAACTGAAAATTGCCATTTCGTTTCAATCTGGATCATAAAAATCAGGCCAATTCAGTTCCAAATTTAGCCAAAGACCTAGTTTGGCCAAAATTACCAACCTGATTTTCAAAACATAAAAGCAGCCTCTATTTCAGAGAATACCTTACTTAAACTTATGATATTATTTCACTAGAACTTTTCAGAATGCTTTCTTTTTTAAAAAATGTGTATACCATCTGAGCAGAGTTGAACCTTTTTATAATTACACTAATAAACCTTAATTGTATAAACTCCAAGGGCAGGCACAGATGCCAGGTAAAGTTAGAAGATATATATTTACTGATACTGATTAGAGAAAGTGATATTCTTGTCTCCTAACCCACTGTATCCTATTAAGTTAAGGAAGAGGAAAGATGTGAGAAAGCTATGAGAGCCACCAACCATTAAATTCCCCAAGAAGTGGATATATCTTGAAGACCTCATCTATGTGATTCAATCATAGATCCAATAGAAGAAAAGGAAAATGAGATCAAGCTTAGTTGCATAAAATAGTTTATAGGGAGTAACAAAGCATCTGTCAGGGGTAGCACATATTCCTCATCATGTGCACGGTGCAGCAGAGAAACTGACAACTTGTGCCAAGTTGCAAGCCATTCATTGTTACTGACTTGTTTCCTGTTGAGGAGAAAAGGAAGCAAGTGAGCTGTCCTCGTCAGCAAGGAGAAAAAGGATACCAATGAGGGTGGTGTAGGAGGAATGACAGGGTTGTTAGTAGAAGAGAAGACGAACATAGAAGTTTGCTTAGTGGAGGATGGAGAAGGAAGAAAAGGGGCGGAGTTTAAGCTCTCTCTATGGGAGAAGGAGATAAAAGAAGGGGGAGAAAGGAGATGCAGCAGAGTAGAAGAAGAGAGTTGGGAAAGTAAGATAGAAGAGAGAAAGGTGATATATCCAGAACCAGTGTACAACACCCCACCGAATGAGGGAAACTTGGTGTGTCACCCTTGTTGTGGGACGGTCTGTGCAATGAGGACTGCACCCCTGCGCAAGATTACCAATCGTGAGCGGTTTGGTCCAGCCCCGCAGTGAACAGACTGGTGTTGGATGAAAGATCCGTGTTGACAAGTTATGGACAGTTACCCAATTTGTTGTATTTTGACCCAGTTGCCATTATCGTTGATACTCCGCGTGTTAATAAAGTAGAAAGTGAGAATTCGT